GGAGAAAAACACGTGTTGTGTTATAAGTGATGATGTACCATACCATCTGCACCCCCTTCTTGGATCCACCCATGCACACAGCTAGTGAGTATGCACAGTAAGCCACACTTTGGCCAAGAAGGTATGTGGCTCCTGTGTCTAACACCCAGGTCAAGGTGGTATTTCTAGGTATAATTTCAGGATTTATACTCGCCCCAGGGCAGGCACATGCAAAGCCATGATTCTACCCCTGTCTTTTAGGAAACAATCCATGATCACTAGTGCATTTGATATAGGCCATCAAATAGCATTGTCTTAAGTTGCTGCTAATCTGAGCTAGACTCAGACTAACTAAATGAAAAGCTCCACATTGCATTCCCAGTGCTCTTAATGAACCCTCTGCTTCATTCTCATTACTGAGATCACCTAATTACTTTCTCAGAGCAGCATTTGCTTGAGCAGCACTGAGTTTGTCCTTGCTTTCCAAGTGGAAACTAGTAAAACAATAACTCTACCTAGTAATCCATCAAAGAGTAACATAGCTAGAACTGCAGGTCAAAATTGTCAAGCCTCCTAGTTCCTGCTGATAAAACAAATCAAAGGCCCCTGCAATGACCTGCATCACAGATTGGTCATGAATACACATAAAATATTATCCCTTAGCTAGAGAATGCTAGACATGAAGTGAAGTACATTCCTGGGAACACCAGGGAAAAACAGTGAGAAAAATTCAGGCACATACTGCAATCTAAGATGATGTCAGGCACTATTCTAAATTTTCCCTTGCTGTAAAAACAGAGTATCCTAAGACAGAGCATCCATTTTGTTGAACCAAAATCAGCAGCAGCATTGTTCTCTCTAAATCTTCACAGTGAATTTAATTTGTAAAAATCAAGGAAAGGAAGGAGGGGGATTCAAGAAAAGTTACAATTGAAATGCATTGTGAGCTAGAGAGACGGACAAGAAAGTAGGAATTCTTTGTGCCTACTAGCAGCCAATTAGATCTACGGTATTTTGCTAAGTTTTTAAGGCATCTGAAGGAGGTAAACAACCAATTTTTCAATATTTTTGACAGGAACTGGGTCCTTAAATCCTTTAGCATGCTTTTAGTATATATGTATCAGTGGATTGTAACCTCAGATATAGGAAAGTTGTAAGAAGGAGCAACAGTCACCTACCTCCAAGTGGCACAGCACAGAGGTAAAGGTATGGAAAGAGATCAGGCATTGAACTCCTTCCCCAGCTGTGGCTGTCAGCAAAGCAGTGACTGAAGAGCGTCTCCACCAACTTTTTATGCTTCACTGTAGGGAAAAAGAGAATGACATTGAAACCTACCTCCCACTCCCTTGCACTCTAGATTAAAGCTACTCATCCAACCAAAACCAGATGTGGTGCCGTTCAGCCTGCCCTCCTTCCATTGTGCAGAGTCAGAGGGGTATGATGCCCTCTCTGGAGCTGTCTCAAAGACCCACATTTGTTGGGTGGAGCAGACTCAGCAAAATCATGGTCACTTGTGATGCCGTGTTGCTAAACCTGAAGGTCAACAGTATGTATAACTTGGGGTCAGGCTACTATGCAAGATTTATTGTGTTACTCCCCAGCCTTTCTCTGAATGTCCACATTCTCCAAATATATAGTGGGCAGGTGTAGTGATCACAGGACCTGAGACAAAGCCCTCTGAAGTCAACAGGAGTCTTTCATTGGCTTCAATACACTTCAGACCAACACATGCTCTTCTTCCCAGCTTTCTCCCCTTCCCCCAGACTTTCCTCCTGCTCTTACAGCTGTGGCCTCTACATTGTTCTGCCACGTCACCTCACTCATGAAATGTAACTGCATAGTGCAAAAAAGCTGTTCAGTCTTTGAGATATGTTCAGTTATTGGCCTGGTGCTGGCAACAAAAAAGCTGGTAAATGCTAGTTGTGATACAGCAAATGATATGCTAGGAACAGGAGAGAAAACCCACTATCTCCTTTGCCAGATGTCCCCGGACGGCTGTTAACGTTATGACACTTTTGGCCATATTGATCAACTAGGGCTCTGAACAAGAGGCCAAGCCAAGTTATGAACCTCTCTGTATCTTAGACAAATAATTTCTGAATCACCCTATCACTCTGCCCCTGATTGTAAAAATGTGGGGGCAAAAGGTTGTGGGGACAGGATTTGCCAAGTAAGGATTTTCTACTCTGATGGAAAGAATTTGCTTAGGCTCTAGGAAAACACAGGAGTAGGAGACAGGACCAGTGATCTGGGTACTAGAGTCTTCTACACTCCCAGGAGAGGGGGATCAGGACAGCTCTGTGAAAGCCAATGGAGCTGTGTAGGTTCCTACCTGTTGAGGATTGGGTCTTATGTGGGTTTCAGTTTCCTCTTCTGGAAAACTGAAACAGTTGGAGCTGATTGGGGTACGGCAAAAATACAGTGTGGGAAAGTTTGACATTTTCAGATGTATTCAAACGAAAAAAACAAAACAATCTACTCTTTCTTGCCATTTTTGTTGTTGTTGTTCCTTTCCCCCTCCTCTTTTTTTCCCTTTTTCTATTTTAAAATGGAGAGAAAAAGAGATAAAAATAATAACGGGAAACCATACAAATGTTTGCTTTTTAGTGTGTGTGGGGGGGGTGTTTCTTGTATCACAAGACTGAAAAATCAAAAAAGGAATTGACTGTGCCCCTAGAAAATATTTGTTTTCATAAAAGACTCTTACAAGTTTTGAATGCCTGCTCTTAACAACAGTATGTGCTGATCTCACTGGCAGGGAGTCTTTGAGGTTGACTTCACTAATGCTGGTAAAGTGTTCTGCGATCCTCATTAGTTTCCTGAACATATATAGCATAGAGCAGACCAAAACCATGACCTGTAGTAGACACTGACTCAGGTTTGCCCAAAGATTCTCCAGCGCGGCATAGTGCCAGCAGCTAATTAGCTTCCTACCAGGAAATCTGACTGAGGCTTTTAACTAGGCTAGAGCTCCTGGGATGCTACATCAGTAGACAGCTTCCTCAAGGCCTATTTCTGGTGATAACATACCTTCTCTGGAAAGGGGAGAAGAACAGTTTTGATGTGCATTCATCCCCTATCTGAACAAAGGGTGTATTAGCGCTACTCTAAGCCACAGCTGTGTGGTGAGGATGTAAATACTGCGAGGTGCAAAGCCGGAACTGTGATGGGTGGCAATATAAGGACTTCATCTGCTAGGAGGTGCATTTCCTGCCCAGGAAGTCATAATACGGACTGTCATATAGAAAAAAATCCATCAAACTTAAGGTAAAATTTTTTTGCCCCTACCTCTAGCCTCTCATACATACTGTGGATATCCCATTTCCAGAGCTGGTAACACATGCCAGCTGATTTTGAGCTCAGCAGAGCATTCTGATCAAAGGAGGAGTATAATCTCTTTAGTTTATCATGCCTCTTCCAGTGACCTTCTAGCTGCATTCAGAAACCTGCTGACAACTTGTAAGAAAGTAGAGACTTTACAATGTTACTCTGTTGCCATTTATCTTTTTACAAGTAGGAAGAAATCATATGAAGCAAGGCCAGATCCAGTTAAGCTGCAGACATTTTCGGCAGTGTCCCTGCACTCAGCACTATTTTGGGCTGTACAGAGCACGACTCACCCTTGGAATTCCCTCGGAGGGAACTGACAGCTGCTGCACAATACTTTCTTGCCCAAGCATCCGCTTTCCTCGTTGTCCTTATTTTTTATTATCTGCATGAATCTTGCCTAGAACAAGAGATGCAGGATGGAAGCCCCAGTGTGCTAGCTGGTGTACATACATGTAAATAAAGACTGGCCTTGCCCCAAAGAGCTTACATTTATTACTAGGGACATGGTTTGCTTTTTCACCCAGGCTGCTCCTGCTGCATATTCCTGTGCTCTGTCTGGGATGCCAAGACTGCCCTGGGATTGAAAATGTCCTCCCTGGGCTCTCCAGTAGGAAATAAACAGATGAGCCCTCAGTGGCAGATATTCTTTTTTCCCTACATTGGTCTCTGACCTGGGGAGTTAGCGAGAAAGAAATACAGATGGTTGTTACAAGGGGCAGCATTAGGGGCACATATAGACATTACACTTAGAATGATCTAAGTGAACACAGATCAATCTAAACCCATAACCATATAGAAGTTTGCACCTAGACTAGTTTAAAATTGGTGCAAGCAGTCTAAGATAGACTTGGGGCGAGTTGCATTCAGTTCAGATCAATACAGGTTAGACCAATGCACTGAACTTCTGTACTGTTTCTAGGGCCCTGGATTCTGCTCTCATCAGAATAAAGGTTTTTCAAGGCAGGAGCCATGTAGGGAGTGCTGAGTGCAAAGGGGTTTGAGGCTTAAAGCATGCAGGAATACTGCCAGCAATACAAGGACTAAATTATTTCTCAGCAGATGGTTTTCAGTGGGGCCCTGGCACCTCTCTCAAGTATAACAGTGCTTTGTTCTGCAACTTAAAAACCCTACAACTTCTGAACAGGTGCAGAGGTAAGCAGATTGGTTGGACTATATGACCTCATGAGCATAACACATCTAGCTTATTGGACAGAAAGGAAGAGGTTAATTCAGGGCAGAGCTGTGTGCGTACAGTGGAGGAGATCCTAGATTTCTGCCTCTGCTGTCACACGCTTTACTTGCCATGTCCATAATCTCACAGCCTGATCTCAGCCCTCGCTCCTCTTTTGTGAGCACTATATTTAGCATCAAATGTGTCTGCTAGCATAATTGTGGCTATGAAGTGTGCAGCCTCCTTATCTGCCCACACCAGGCATAGGAGAGCAGCTGGGAGGACTGCAGGCTGCCTTGCTGGCACCAGTTCTCTTAGTGATAGAAGAAGAAAGGGAAAGAGGAAGCAAATCAGAAATCATCTGAGAAGATGCAGCACATACACAGAGCCGCGCAGAATGTTGTAGAATTCCTCCTGATGCCTCTGTGTATTCCTTGCATACCACATGCCCACCCAGCCCCTTCAACTGAGTTTGGACAGCCAGTTACACGCCCCCCCACAAACAGGTGCAGTTCCTTACCTACATGCTCAGCTGAGTGTGCAGAACAGAAGGGAGTGGATTCAGACGCATTGCACAGAGGTGGGTATGACAGCTGGGAGAGGGGACAGAGAGGTGGGTACCTCAGAGGGGAGTGGGAGAATGGGCACAGTGTGGTGGGTGTTCCAGGAAAGGGAGATATAGCAAATAAGACTGAGGGCATGGCTGGGTGAAGCCAAAGGACACGAGCATAGTAAATGAATAGTGCAAGAGATACTGACTCAGCAGAACAGGCTTGTAGAGTAGGAAAGCAAGACCCAGTTCTTCTAGTGTCATATTTTGCTTTAGGTCTTTATCTCCCAGAGGCAATAATCATTAGTCTTTTAAAGATACTCATTTAAACAGCCCTCACATAATCCATAACACCCAGTTGTACGGGAAAAAACCTCCCCCCCACTTCTTTTCCTTGTCTTAGTGGCATCAAAGTCAAAGTGACGCAAACAGATAAGATTTAGCCAGGCCAGGAAAGACTGACTGGCTTTGCTACGCCCTGACTAGACCCAGTGGTCATATTCTCTGCTTTCAGGACACAGCTACATCCCAGAAGCAGCTGCAGGTATTTGGAGAGAGCTGATTCTGCCTTCCTGTCACAGATGGCCTAATTGCAATATAGTAACTGTGGAGAGAAAGGAAAGGGAACCTGGAAACAATTCCAGCCTCACAACTGCTGACTTTAAAACTGGTTTCTCAGGCATAGGTAGAGAATGCCATCTGAAAAATGCATGAATTTTTGCGCAGAGCTGCATTGCCACATGACCTGAGAGTCATTGTCTGATTTTGCCCTGCTTAAAGGAATATGCATTGCATTACACCACTGGGATGGAGTGGAATCCCTGATCTGGAAGGATAGGATCACCAGGTCCATGTTATCCCTCTTCACCATATTGAGCAAATACCTTGGCTTCCTCTGGACTGAGCCCAATATCTTCTCTTCGTCCCCTTTCAAAAGAATATTGCAGTACAAAGTCCCATAGCAATGGCTCACAATACTGTAGCTCAGGGCAGAGCAAAGGCATGAACAGTTCTAGGATTTTGAAAAGGGGTTGCAGATAGTATGGGGCATCATCACTTATGCCGCAGCACATATTTTTCTCCAGTCATAGGCTGCGGAACAGAGTGGGACGCCTGGGCCGTGGTCCAACCAACTTGTAGCACATTAATTTATATTACCCACAAACCCGCAATTATCATTCCGATTAAAACTGTATAGCAATTATTTTAACTGCATAGCTAGCTAAATTAACATGCTAAAAGTTGGTCGGGCCATGGCCCGGAGGGCCCACCCCATTCCACAGCCTATGTCTCCAGTTACAAATAAATTAGAAACTTTACTAATATGCTAGGGGCCTGAGGCTGTGTTATTCAGTTTAAGATCCAAGCAAAAACAAATATAACTTTATTGGAATGTGCATTAATTTGCTATATCATATATTATGTATATAAACAAAAAAACCCTACACAATAATGATCAAAAAATGGTTCATTAGTCCTAAAGTCATTAGAATTAAATGTACATCTCTTTTAGAGTCATAAAATCTAGCCTTCTTCAGCATTTAGGCAGGGCATCCAGTGCTTCAGTGAAAGTTAAAACTCTACACCTGAGTTAATATTTCCAGCCAGAGTTCAAAGCAATCTTCATGGATATGAAATAGGAGCTACATTACCAGGAGCCACTAACAAACAACAGAATTGCAAAAGAAAGACTAGCTTGATTAGTGGCACATTAAAGACCATTGTCATTACTGTAGGAGAGAGGGTCATTAACACCGGTGGAATGAAGAGTTTAGAAGGAATCAGGTAGATTATAATGAGCCACCAAGTCTGTTGACTCCCTCGCTGCTGTATGGATAGAAATTCCACTGCCCTTCCCAGGCAGTTGGTTTTAAATTTTGGTCAAAGGGGGTGCAACTGTACCACTGCACCCCTGCTAGATCCACCCCTGGGCAAGGAATAATTCAGGCCACTGCTGTATGAACAGAACTATATGAACTCTCTCCAAATTCAAGACATGCTCCATTAACTGCATTCACCCTTTTCTGAAATGGAGCCTGGAAATGCCTCTGAATTCAACTCTGCACTATTTTGCCCTTTCCTCTGCCCACGTTGTATAGGTGTTCAGGCAGAGATGCAGGAGACACTGTCATGACACCAGATGTATAGTATATTAGGCAAAAGAACCTGTCAGCTGTATGATATGTAATATGATATGTAATTACACGGTCTAAATGAAAAGTGATTGAAGAGCAGAGAGGTATTTGGGATTTGGGATAAGAGTGAGTGTGGTGCTGGGCCTAGCTTAAAGTCCTAAGGAACTGTGCATAAGAGGGTTGGGTGGGGCTTGTGAGGTTTTAATGGATATCTTCAGTATTCAGTAGGCATGTTCCCAACAACCAGTGCAGTGCAAAAAGGTGTCTTTATTTTGGGGTCGTTGTTTTGGTTTTTTTGGTGGGGAGGGATTAAATTATCTGGAGAGGAGAGGGCAAATCACATTAGTATTTTTTGGTGTGAAAGACAAGAAATAAAGCATGAACTGACTCTCCCCAAACCACTTCTTTCTCTGTCCCTAGAATATCTTTGCTTTGGTGTCAGATGTCAGCTGGCGTCACTCAGCTGGCATGTGCCGGACCTGTCCTGGAGAATATCTGCACAAAGGTGGCTCTGCACAGCAGGACTTTTAGCCACAAATCTAAAAGGAACCCTGCTCCTCCCTGCAGTGTGATGAGAAATGAGTTAGGTATTTATCTTCCCCCACCATATCTTCAAAAAGAAGTAATGGTGCTAAAAAATCATACACAAAACCCCACCTCTGCACTGGGTATCTGTTTGCTACATGACAAAGTGTCTCCTTCCCCTGCCATTTTCTGAGGTCCAGTTCACCTAGACTCCTATCTCTTTTGGGGCAGGGTTCTGTGTTTTCCTTTGTATGCAGCGTCTCAGATGCCTGGTACTCTGTAGGGCAGACCAATGCCTGTGCCATCTGCCTGAGACATTATTATAGGTGCAGTGGGTTACATTGTGTCCATCACTGCCAGTCTTGTGACTAAAGGGATTGGAAATGGATTGCTCAGCTTTGCAGCACTAAATGGAGTGCAAGTCACCAAGGACAGAAATTTCTTCCTTTCCAAGAGTTGCTCTGTGCCCTGTACAAGATAACGTTTTGGTTGTGGTTTTGATGTAGTTCTGCTAGTAGAGGTGCACTGATGAAGATTTTCTCAGCCAATACTGATGGCTGATTTTTAACCAACAATATCGGCCCAAACTGATCCAATAGTCGATTTACAGGAATGCAGCCCAGCAGCTTGGAGAGTAGTGTCAGGCCAGTAAGTCTGTAGGTGGGAAGGGGAAAGAAAAGGGTGTGGGGGGTGCAGATCAAGGTCATCATGGTGAGGGAGGGAGTGGGGCAGGGGTAGGAGCAGGGACAAGTGATGCCCAGCCAGGGTAGTTAATGCAACCCTGAGAACGGGACAGATCTGTGGGTGTCTCATCCGGTGGGCATGCGGGGTGGGGAGGGTGGGCGACTCCTCACCACTGCGTGCACCCATGGAGGAGGTGTGGGGAGCATGTACCCCCCAAATTTGTGTGTGGGGCAAGTTCGGGCTGCCCACTGCAGGCTCAGGGCCAGAGGCTCTGCAAGCCTTTTCCCACTGAGGGGTCTGGGCTGGGGCTGTGATTAGGGCAAGCAGGGGTGGGGCAAGCAGTGGCAGCACTGGAAGGGGTGACTACAGGGTGGGCAATAGACACCCCAGAATTCCCTGAAGCCATCCCGTAGCCACCCCTCCCAGCACCACCGCTGCCTGCCCCACCTCCACCTGCCACGAGCGCAGTGCCCCCCACCCCCTACTGGGAAGAGGCTGGCACAGCCCCTGGCCC